GTCCGCATCACCTACCTTCTCAAGTGATGAGGTTTGTTTACATAGATCCCTGTAATTATTACACACTGTAGCTTTAAAGCCACTAATTTGAAAAAAATATATATATATAAATATTATAAAAATAAGAAAGGAGGTTAAAGAGCATTAAAATGGAAGGGAGGAGAGAAGTGAAAGCGGAGCTTTACGAAAAGTGACAGTTGATGCTGGTACGCCCTTGTGGCATAGGGCGGGCGGGCGGAAAATTGAATACAACTACATTACAGATGCAGATATGATACAAAAAAAGACTTCTTCATTTTTGAGTTTTAATAATTCAACAAACTAATTACCTAAGTGTCTAAGTGTGAACTCACCTTGAGTTGCAATAAAGTGGTTGGATCGCTGGTAGCCCTGTGTGAAAAAGAGGCACATGATTGAATGAGAGCCACTGATTCATTGTTCAATAATCTCATATTAGAAGAAGACCTGCCGAGGTCTTTGCCTCTTTACAACCACTTTTTGATTGGGAATTTTCCTCATGGATAAACTTACACACATAAGTGCACTATCACAAACAGCTACAGGTGCTTGGATCTGGCTACTTACATACTCATCAATTGTATCCTAAACTACCACTTTATACATTTTGTATTGATTAATACTGTACACTGTGATGGTATCAATGTGTTGTATTGTATTTATAGTTCCATATCAGTAGGTTGTGCTGTTCTTTTTACATCTCTTTGTAGGTGAGGAAGCAGACAGATGAAGTTTTGTCACTCTCTCTCTTCTGTCTCCTCTTTCTCTCACATTTGCTCCTTTTTCTACTTTTTCAATGTAGTGTCCACATACCCTGAATTTTTTTACTCAATAATCATAATAAAACTATTTACATATATAAATCAAGCAGAGGACTATGGTAAAAGCAATAATGCTCCACTTGTGGAGCAAATTCTGTTGGGCTCTTCTTGCGGAATGCAGAAACATACATTAGATGAAGAGCTTAGATGGACAGGTGGACTGGGACAGAGTGCTCTGGACTGCGTATTTAACCATTATCAGGGGAATACTTTTCAAACTGAGCGTTTCGGAGAAAGGCAATAATAGAGGTGAAAGGGTTTGTTCTTTTCATTTGTGAATCTCATACAGAGGCTTTAGGACATATTTGACTGTTACAAACAGTTAAAGGCATACTATGCAACATTTTTCAGTTAATTAATGTGTTCCATAACGTTTTGGATGATTAAATGAGTCATTTCAGGTNCAGCAGCTTTTTCCCCACTGCCATAAGACTGTTGAACTGTTAAAACTCAAATCAAGTCTCAAATCAAAACTCATCACTCTGTAAACATAGGCCGTTTCTCAGTATGTGTTCTTGAACGTTGTCGTGTGCTTGTGATACGTCATCAGCCTCAGCCCGAGCACTGTTCCAATTTCAGAGAACGCAAGACTGAGAACGCACCAAATCCACGGATGTTGTTCTGACCCTTCCCTCTTTACCCAGCATGCATCAGAGCAGACTTGTCCGTTCTTTAGATTGAAAGCTGTCCCAGCATGCACTGCAGCAGCAGCAGCTTTCAATGAAGTGCTCTATTTAGAGTGAAAAGTTCTCTTTTCTGTTACTGTTGTTCAATATTCGTATGTTTTAAGATCATTTGAGGCGGGAATATTATACTTTAAAGCATCACTATATGGTCCATTTACCGATTTAATGTGTAATTAAAAAAAAGATTTCCAAATTTGAGAGGACCGCGGCAACCAGCGGAGCTCCAAAGTTAATGGCAGCCAAGGCTAACTGCAGCCCTTTTGTAGCAGCCCTCTCTCTGCATAGCCGTGTGTGAAGGACCGCTGGCTATGATGGCGATTTTTTTGTTTTATTTGGCATCATTTTCATATGACTTGTGTTTTTCTGACTGTGTTCATTATTATTCCACCACTAAATGTAAAAAGTAATAGTTTATTATAATATAGAGACTATTAATAACAGGAGGTGAAATGCAGCTCTAGAAGAGCCGAGTGTGTGGTGACTTCATAAGAAATGGCAGGGCCCCAAACACCTCTGACCGCCTGAGCAGATCTTGTACCTACTGTATACAATGCCGTAGCACCTCAGGTTGTTACAATCTATGGCAGGCCTGCCCTACGTCGGCTCGAGGGTCGCTGTGCTACAGATCTTTAGGTGTCCCTGCTTCAAAACAGCTGATTTCCATTGATAGCTGATTAACAGACTTAACAGCAATTGTCAAAATTAGTGGAAGACAATCGTTTTTCTAATTTAAGAGGAATTTTCCTGGAGGCCCCATTGTTTACATTTTTTATTTTCAAACACAGCGTAATATGAGACCTTTAAATCATCTCCTCTATCCAATTTCAAATGTGGCTGCTGAGGTCAAGGAACAGAGGAAAGATAAACTTACCCTATTGACTTCAACCAGTTTGGTAAGCATAACAATGCTGAAGCAATTCTCGTGCCAAACCATTCGCCAAAATTCATAGATCTTCTCCTGCTTGGGGCCTGCAGAAAGAGGGAGGTCAAGAAAAATGGAAAAAGAAGAGAGGAAGAGATGTGGAAAGACGAGGGGAGTGCAGAGAGGAGACACAAGTCAGAGAAAATTAGATGAAATATCTGTAAATGTAGAAGCACACATAATCCATGCCATTAACAATGCATGATTAGAACTATTGCCATTCTTCTTTTCTCCTTTTCTTGTGAAAAAAGTACATTTTAAGTGAGGTTATATTAATGTGTTACTTTATGAATAAGCAGAGCTGCCAAGTGTCCCACTTTTAGTGCGACAGACATCATTTGACCCACTCGCACACCACACATGACCTTCATCACGCTTATCCCCGCATTCAATACTCGCAGCAGCTGTAGTTGGTGTAACTTTGACGGGCTACCCCATCCCAGACCAATCTATCAGTTCTTTCTATCTAAATCTAACCAGCTACTGAAGGCACCATGCAATACAAACCAGCCAGAAGCATCAGAAGCACAGGTGTTAGTATCCCTACATATGATTCACACACAACAGTGCAAACATTTAAACCCCACTAGAGTTATTTGTTGTTTTCTTTTTATAATGTATTACTTTAAAGCTTCTACCCACTTAAGAAACCTCTGGTGGTCTCTTAAATATTTAGGGGAGAAGGAGTGTTTCTTAGACATGAAAATTTTTATAAATAGCCTTTATTCTTAAGTTAGAAAGTTAAGTTCCAAAAATTCTCAGCACTTAGGAGTAAAAAAGCACTCTTAGAAGTTTGATAAATATTGCCCCAGATTTTTAAGTTATTCCTCTCTTTTGGAACTAACTACTAGTTTTAATTTGTAAGGCAGACACTTGTCTACTTTAAAGGCTGGCTTTCTTTGAAAAAGCTTATGAAGAGAGAGCTAAAGGCATCATAAATGGTAGTTGGCCTGTACTTATATAGCACCTTTGTTCAAGTCAGGAGACTTGACCAAAGCGCTTTACACTACATTCATTCACCCATTCACTCACACACTGATGGTTGCAAGCTACATCGTAGCCACAGCTTCCCTGGGGCTCACTGACAGAAGCGGGGCTGCCGTACACTGGCGCCACCGGGCCCTCTGACCACCATCAGTAGACAATGCAGGTGAAGTGTCTTGCCCAAGGACACAACGACACTGAAAGTCGGAGCCGGGGCTTGAACCGTCAGTCCTTCGATTTCAGGGCAAACTCCTACATCCAACGCCACTTTCGCCTAAGTGGAAGTCGATGTTTTCCTCGTCGCTCTCGTAG